AAAGCATCTGAATACTACTACAACAATTGATTTTAATATGTTAATAAAAAATAGGGTGCCAGTACAACTCCAGTTGCCTTCTGTGAATGCATTAATCATTGTATGCATTTATTCATTCATTCATTCAGGTTCAGGTCCAATCCAGTTGTGGCAGTTTTTGCTGGAGCTTCTTCTAGACTCTGCCTGTCGTACCTTCATCTCCTGGACAGGAGACGGCTGGGAGTTTAAGATGTCTGACCCCACAGAGGTAAGGACATATCTGGTTTTAGCATAATTACTTAAGTGTTGTACTTAGGCGATTTTTTTTTGCAGTACTTGTACTTAAGGTTTTCCATTTTTATGCTACAGTATACTCCAGAGGGAAATAGCCTGTTTCACTTTTTAAAAACTGTAGTTACTTCTTACTTACTACACAGGATAATCTTATAAAACAAATTATTCAGATTTAAACTGGGCATTTCAAATGTCTACGAGTTGTTCCCAGTTCCACCAAAGTGATATTTCTTCTCTACACTTCACAGATGGTTTAATTTAAATTTTTTTTTTCAAGGCCCAAAGGGTCAAATAATTCAATATCTCATCAAAAAAAGCAAATATTAAAGAAAAATCTAAATGTTTCAGAAAATATTTGTGTCAGAGCTTTGCTTTTAAACGTTTCCTGTCACTTCACTTCAACCTTTTCCCCGTGTTTTTGTGTCTAAGTGACTTGTGGGAACAACGATTTTTGAAGTTTGTCCAGTATTGAGAGAAGACGCTGCAGCCGGATGGGTCCAACAAACACAGACTTTCATGCGACATAGCATCCCATAAAATTCTAAAGCCAAACCCAGTTCCTTTTTCCTAAACCTAACCACGTGCTTTTGTTGCCTAACCATGTGTGTTTGTTGCTGAAGGAAACAAAACATCAATTCCCGGTGTTGTACTGACATAGTGCATTTATTTTGAAAGAGACTGTATGAAAACGCTAAATATCCTGTGAAAATGGAAGTGTATCTTGAAAGAACACAATGCATGTAACAGGCAGACGTTGACACTGTGTCCCAGAGCATCAACAACCAACACACCCAGGGTACCTTGCAGGTTGTATGTGGATGTGGAAAGTCCATGACCAAGCACGTCAATATGTGACGAGGTCGGAGTGAGAATGTGTTGGAGAGTCTGTGTTTCTCTAACAAAGCCAGACCTAAGTTGAACTCTGTGGTGTTTGTTGATCCCACAGGTGGCTAAACGCTGGGGCCAGTGCAAGAACAAACCCAAGATGAACTACGAGAAGTTGAGTCGCGGCCTGCGTTACTACTACCACAAGAACATCATCCACAAGACGGCAGGCAAGCGCTATGTCTACCGCTTTGTCTGTGACATACAGGGCATGCTGGGAAAGACGGCGCAGGAGGTCCTGACCAGTCTCAACATTTTGCCCACAAACACTGAGTCGTGGCAGTCATGCTCCGGGGTACCTGTAGCAGCAGGGACGTCGGAGCACAGCAGTGAAACATGGGCGTCACAGTAGGGAACAGGTGCCAGGACTCTTGGTGCTGCTGGCAGAGAGCAACCAGCATATTTTAATAAAGTACTACAGCCCACAAAGGGAACACTGCCTCCTCCAGTCCTGGCTGAACCACAGTGTCTTCATGGGCTGATGCTGTTGCAGGCAGACGAGGAGCCAATGATAGATGTATGGCGATAGATTTGTCCCAATTTCATTTGAGCGAAAAGATCGACAATCCGTGTGTTAATGTGTTGGTGAAAATTCATCCAGGTCATAGTAATCCTAAGTGCTATATCGTAGGCAACTGGACATGCTTGAGTTTCTTGAAGACGTTTCACCTCTCATCCAAAAGGCTTCTTCAGTTCTGAAGAAGAATATAGCACTCAAGGTCGCGTGTCAATGTGTAATTGGTAAATATTAAACACCTTCCACAAATACAAAAAAGATTTCTAAACCTCCAAGTCTTTTGCAGACGTAAAACAGATCTGCATATATCTCCGAATCTTTGAATACACTGAATTCATTTACAAATAAATGAAAAACATTTGTGAATATCTTACATTTACAACTTACGAAAAGATATTTGTGAATCCAGTTTTTTTTAAACAATCTTTTTTATTGAGTTTTTAAATATTAAACGTGAACAGTAACATTTTAACAAAGAAAATAAGTATAATTTCCACAACCCTGGCAAGAAAAAAATAAAATAAATAATTAATAAAAATAATAATGATCATAAAAGTACATAAATAAATAAAAGAAATAATAACAAAAGTATAATCACAGCAGTGCATAATTTGCAGAAAGCTTAAAATTATTCAAAGTGAATCCAGTTTTTATTTGTGGATCTAAATTCTGCCCTTGCAGAGTTTGTTTTTTGTTTTTTTAATTTTTGGTATTTGTATATTTTTAGCTGCATTTTATATTTGCTAAATATTTTTGTGAGTTTACTTTTTTTTTGTATTTGTGGAAGTGTTTACACACAGACTGTCAATCACGCACGAAAAATGAGACAAATCTATCACCATATAAATGCAACATTTCAGGGAAAGAAATACCCAAAAACTCATAAATGTATGCAGGCAGTCTTTACAAACACGTTCTCTGAAATAATAAATCATATTAAATGAAAGTCTTCCGATACCTGTCAGATAACTCCTTAACCTCAGGGCTAAATAACTGCAGCAAAGGGGCATTTCAAGCACTATGAATAGATATTTTTTTTGCAACATCAGGGGCCATATTTTCATTTGATGTGTTTCTAAGAAGAAAATGATTTGTAAATAGTGTTTATATGATCGCTGTGTAGAGTTTTGTGCATTTATATTATTATTTTTTTAAATACAAAACTCATGTCTACCTCTTGCTAATTGGAATAATGTAAACTGAGAATATTTTCAGGTGTTCACTGTGAAAGTTTCAGCCTGTGTGATAATTGTTTTGTGTAAATAAATTGTATATGAACACAGGTTTGTGTGCAGACTCTTGTTTCATCTGGATTATTTAATTATGCAGACAATAAAATGTGTGTTTCTGGTGCTTGGTGTGATTTCCAGGTTTTCTTATATTATACCTTTATGTGTTACTATGGGTTATTTAGTTATACCTTTTGACAAATTGTAGATGTCATATATTGAAGTTGTATATTACACACAATACATTTGAATTTTAGAGCTACATAGAAGAAGCTAGATGCCTACATTACAGAAAAATCAAGCCTAAAAAATCTTAAATATGAGATAATACTGAGATGATATCCAGATATTAATGAAATCAATCAGTGTGAAGTTGCTGCATGTAGCCTGTGATATCCTCAGTTACGTATTTATTTGTATTATTTTGGTTATATTTGGGGTGGAAATGCGTCAGTAGTGAGTGGAGTGTATACCCTAAAAGCACCTAGGTGTAGGCCACAGGGTTTACTTCCTTGTCTAATGCTGCCTTCAAGTGCTGCTCGTAAGCATCCACATCAGAGGTCGTAAATGAAAGTGTTTACAACCCACTGAGACCTCGCTCACCTCACCAGATATCAGAAATTTGTTTATTCTCTACATTGTCTTCTTTTTATATAATAAGGTCGTTACTTACTTGCTGTTTTTCTGGTTGAACCTCAAATACGTCAACACCTGAGGTGATCAGAAGAGATCTATTGTTGTGATTTATTATTCATTTAATTCTCTGGAAAACGAAATATGTATGTACACCATACAAAGAAAGAGAAAGGGAAGTCAATCAAAATGGAGATATGTGTTATTGCAAAAGAACCCTTAAAGAGCAAATATGTATTACATTAAGAGAAATATAAAGGACAGGATAAAGACACTGTTCGTCTAAATGTAGCTTATCATACACACTAATAATACCTTGAGTTTAAATGGCACCTGATGGAAGTTTTTAATTCATGCTCAGCATACGTAATAGATCTTAATAGACAATAATTCTGGATATTAATATACAAATTAACTAGTTAACTTTTTTACAAAATGAAAAAAAAAGGCAATATATATAATAAAAAATGTATTATTATTATTATTGTTATTATTAATATACTTTTACTCATACTTTTACTCAGGAGTGTGAATACTGTCTTTATCCCCCTTTGAATAATCTATGTCTTGATTTATTTCCTAAATTCTGTTTTATAATAATAATTAATAACAACAACAAACACTTATTATTATTATTATTATTATCATATTCTCAGTAGAAAAATTATAAAC